GTGATCTCAGCTATATCCTCCACTTGGCTCTGGGCTCACCTCTGTCATCTGGTAATCTCACCTTCGCCCTAGAGGGAACCGCTGGCTTGCTGCCATGCTCCTGTCTGCTTTGTTGGACTTCTGGGGCTTCCAAACCACATGGAAGCCAAGGGAGGCTTGGAGACCTAACAAGGCCCCTTTTTTCACAACTACTTCATCAATTTACCATTTTTTTCTGTTTCAGCTAGTGCTATTTGAATTCTGTCTCAGAAATCTTTGCCAACCTCAGCATTGAGAATATATTCTCCTGTTTCTTTGTAGAAAGTCTGTGATTTTATGCATAAGCCTATGATCCATTCCCTTCCTGCCCCCACCCCCTCCCCAAAATAACTCTTCAAGCTAGAAAGGCCAGCTTTCCTCCATCACTCAACCCCCTTCTCCCTACCCCAGGCATAGAGTATAACTGTGATCTTATTCATCGGGATGCTCTCTAGTTATGTTTACAAGAGGGATGAAGGAACTTAGAAACTCCTTCTTTCTTGCAGTAAGACCTAGCTCTCATCTCCCCTTTTGCAATCAACTCATGTCTGTTTTAGATAACAAAAGTTATTTTTTAACTCTGTCTTTTTATCTCTACCTCTTGCACCATCTGCCTCTTGCTCAGGGAGAAGACAATGTACACAAACATTAAAAAACAAACACCAAACCTCATTCATATATCTGAGAAAGCACAATCTCCATTCCACAGAGGTTCTCAGCAATTATATAATGAATGACTTCTTCAGAAATGAAGGTATCTAAAGGAATGTATGAAAACCTGAAGGCGCAGACCAGAGGATGTGGTGGAAAGTAAAAATAGCACAGTGAATAGAAAATCCATGGTGGAAATGGAGGCTACAGCAGGGAGAACTACTACTGCATTGGAAGAAAGGGGAAACGAAAGTCAGTGCCAGGGGACTGAAGCAGAGAAAGCAAAATAATGGTTCAATACTGGAATGGAGAGATTAGTAGTGTGATTATAAGACAGAAGAATCCTGGAACAGGTTAGAAGTGGCAGAAAACCTTATTTCTTCTCTGTAATCAATCAAAATGAAATTTTCATATTCTCTTCTGGTATCTGAAATGTTGATGATATTAAAGCTGTATTTGTTTATTCCAGTAGAAGACATTATAGTGCTGTAATATAAGATAGTGCTATCTATATAGAAACAGGCTAAAATGAGTGACTTCGTGGACATTATGTTTTATTATTCTTATCAAGTGAAAATTCAGCTTCCTTAATTCATATATTCCAGAAATAGTGTCCACTTATAGGTGCTATACTTGTAAGATACAAAGCTCAATAAGAAACTCATAACTTACTTTAGGAGGCTTACAGTGTAGTGAGTAGCCCTATAACATAACGGTGCTGAGCTGTGATGCAAGCTTCCACAGGCTGTGACAGCAGATTTCTAGAGGAGAGTGTGGCTAAGTTGAGCACTAAACAGCAAAGAACAGATGTGAGTTCATGGAGATTCTTCCCAAGTGCGTTTGGGATGTGAGTCCCTTCTATTTCTATTGTCATTCATCACTCTCAGTTCAGAAGTAGTTACTTTCATGTGGCTTCATCATGGGTCAAAGGCAGGTCTTAGAGCAGGGGAGCAAGGGAAGAGGGTGATGAGTGGGAAACCTGTTTTGTTGGGGGAAGCAAAGAGATACCACGTTTGGAAGTGGATACTAGGTAGTAAATTTTTTCAACAAAATAGGTCAAGATGGATGCTGGGAAGTATATCATGTGATAACTTTAGGGGGCAGGAAGTGTTATGCAATCCAGCCATCTATCTATCTCTCCATACATAACGAGTGTCCCAAGCCTTTGGAAGATTTTGAGTAGTGCAAGAGCAATGAATACAATACAAGATGTTTTCCTCTGTGTGTAGATTAAAATCAGATTGAGAATGAAATTTATTTCTGCTTCTCTGGAATCATGACAACAGAATTTCCCTGTGGTTCAGAAATATTTTAAAAGAACAGTAGGAAAGAATTTCATTCCCAAGCGCTTGCTTAGCAAGCACCATGCCAGTTAAGCACTGTTCTTGTGTCACTGTGCAGCTCCCCAGTGGGACAGAAGAGAAACTTCTTAATTAGATTTCAATGGTCCTTGTTTGCCGAGGTGCATTGGTAGGAGATGTCTGGTGACTGATTGGCTAAGCATTTGTTCCAGTTTTTGCCTCTTCTTTGTAGTATTCTGCTGAGATGTGCCTCTTTCCTGTAACTTTGCAGTTTTCGCTGACAACAGGTTAAGTTAGTCTGCCCCTGTCATATGCCGAACCTGATGGATGTCAAGGGATGAGACCAAATTAATTCAACAGGTGGCAGAGAACCTGAGGGGAGGAGCAGGCTGCTCCACGTGGATATGCTAATATAGATTTCAGTGCATGATTATCATTCTGCAGTTCAGGACTAGTTGAATTTGCATATCCCCAATGTCTAAGAATTGATTTCCTAAATGAGGAAATCTAGGGCATAATGACCATGTGCCTCTGCATCACTGCATCATTTCAGGATCCAAAGGAATCTGCAGAGAGTAAATTACTTAGTCCCCTTGGATGGATGGAATTTTCTTGTTATGTTAAGAAGGCTGTGGGTATTTTTTTTTCTCCTAATCGAATGGGATCAGTCTGTGTTCTAAACATAGGATCAGAAGTGCCTTGGAGGCTGCTGGGAGGGTAAATAATTAGCTAGCCTGCTGCCTAGAGAAAAAGCTTAGAGGTTTTTAGAGATAGCACAAATGGACTGGGATATTACACAAAATTTGTTTTGGTCAGACTCTTAATTTATCTAATTTAATATAATTATTGAGAAAAGCAAAACTGTGGACAGTTAGGAGCAAGGAATCAAGAGCCTGTGCAAAGGAGATTGGACATGAAATTTCTTCTAAGACATAATGACAATTCGATAGGACCAGATTTATTTCTTCCTCTTAACACTGAGCTTACAGAGTATGCCCCCAAATCTACCCCTTTGGGACTTCAGTTTTAGCCCTATTATTCATAAAACTTAATCACAATCAAAGCCCTGTGAGTAAAATAATCATGTAATAATGTCATCATACTTACCCAGCTTTTCCCAATATGGAAAAATCAGATTTTGAATATTTTTTTAATCCCTGGCCACAGGTAAAAAATCAAAACAAAAAACAGAACTCTGAAGCAAGAAGACTTTGTACTATAGGAGACATCCTAAAAGGGGGCAGAAGTCTTAGAGGGATATTCATCACCAGCCCAGGTTTTCCTCAAGTCGGGATCAGCTGACTCAAACAGCAAGGTAAGGAGACACAATATGGCTTATTATGGGCTGCTTTTTGGGCCTTACATCTGTCCGATGTCTATCATGACTTTCAAACTCATTGGGATAGGTGAGTCATAGGCCTCTGTTGTCAGAGCCATGAGAAGTAGGTTTTGAATGGGATTGGAAGTGATGAGGACTGAAGGAGAGGGAACATTTGATTAAGTCATAAGTTAACAGAAAATGGCCCCTGAGATGAACTCACTGGAAAGTAGCTCGGGTTGGGTGGAGACCTAATGGAGTTTGGTAATTAGTATTTCCAGGGGCTTCAGTCACATTAGCACCAGCATCTGTCTTCTCTCTTATGAACCAAAAAAGGATGTGTCAAAAGGACCTCATCACAAGAGCTATGCCATTTGGCTGAGAGGTTGATATTCAGTAGATCTTTGTGGCATATTTTTTTTATCAAGGAGTTCAGACTGCCAGTTGAAAGCAAGTTGTCAGAAACAGGACCTCCTGAAGAAGCTAGGATATTGTATTAGGAAAGGTGGGGAGGGGTCTAGAGCCTGAACCAAACCCAGGGTCCTAGAACTCATTTTTCAAATGAGGAAAATGGGGAAATGAAAGATCTGGGAGTCTTTAGCATCTTGCAGAAGTTGCATAAAGCTAGGTAAGATTTAGAGTTTGAATCCAGCTCCATCAGACTCTAAAGTGGGCTTCTCCCATTTTAATTTACTGCCTTTACTAAAATGGTAAGGGTCCATCCAGACTAAACTCTACCGTTGTCACTGAAAGCTTTCAGAGCTTGTGAGCCTCTTAAATGGATTGCAACCAGTCCTCCTGGATTAGGCTACCTTCCCATGAATGGTCTTCCTCACACCCAGATTTATCTAAAGGAGCATGTTTTCATGACTCAACGTTTGTAACTACCACGTATTAATTAGGTCCCACTCTGCAAGTAGCGGAGTTGAAACTTTCCTATTTAACACATGGGATAACAAAGTCCAAGTGACCTGCCTTAAGTCTGCACAATGTCATTGGTTTACAAGAGAGAGATGTCAAGTATTATACCAGGTCTTAGCATTCTTTGTCCTCAAATTCTAGCAGAGTGCCTCACTGACAATCCTAACAGTAAAAATTATATTACCTATCACTTACAGATGAGGAAAATAAGACCTTGCCCAATAGTAAGAAGCTGATCAGTGGTAGGCACTGGATTCTAACCTAGGCGGTCTACTTCCAGGGTCTGTGTTTTTCTAAATCCCACTGCTTATGCTAATATTTGACGTGATGTTAAATAGATTTCAAATACTTTCTCATAACTTAATTCACTTTATCTTCTTAGTAATCATGTGAGTTAAATATTTTCATTATCCCCATTTAACTATGAGGATATAGAAGCTCTGAGAGGTTAAGTAACTTGTCCAAGGTCAAACATCTGGTCTCATCAGAATCTTCTTACTCTAATCTAAGCCCCTGATTCTACCCATTAGTTCCCTCAGATGAGATTCCTTCTGTTGCTAGTAACCAATGGACAGTCATGCTCTGTAAATTTCTCTCTGAATTCTGGGGTGGTAGATTGCAAAAATGAACACAGACCCCCACCCCTGCCTGCAGCCATGTAGTTTACTTCATGACTATGCAGATCCTCCCATCAGTGTGAAGTGCACTTTCCCTCCTCTTCAGCCTGAACTGACTATGTGACTTGCTTTGACCAACAGAATGCAGCAAAATTGTGTTGTGACCTACGTCTCCAGAGGCTTTACATACTTCTGAAAGCTCTCTTGGAACTCTTTCCAGTTGCCATGTGAACAAGTCTGAGAAATTCTGCTGAAGGATTCCCTAAGCATCCTAGGGCAGCTAGGAACCAGTTAATCTAGCAGGGGATTGCAGATGCATGACTGAGCCCAACCGAGACCAGAAGACCATCCAGATAGACCCAGCCTAAACTGCTGACCTGCAGAAGTGTGAGTTAAATAAAAGCTTATATTTTTAAGCCACTAAGTTTGGGGATGGTTTACTGTGACTCACTAGGGTGCTGAATATTGTCTGTTGACTTTCTTGGTACCCATATGTTTGATTCCTTCCTTCACTGTGATTACTGAAGAACTTGTGTTCTTTTGGAGGTATCCACTGAAATTTGATCCTATTTCAAATGTGTTCAAAATGTCTTGTTGGAAAATAATCTTGGAGCTGAGGAATAGCCAAATTTAGAGTCTCTCTCTCTCTTTTTTTTTTTTAATTTGAAATTCTGGTCATCCAAAGTTTTAAGTAGAGTCCACTGACCCTATTTTGATTTGCCAATTATGTCAAGTTGCAGGGACAAAGGAATTCTTTGAAGGCAGAGAAGCCGTGGAGGAAGGAAAGAATGCCTCAAGTGTCACAGAAGCATGTGTTGGAAGTGCTGTGTGTTTATTTCCTGCTCACCCTGTGCTGGTCGCTACCTAAAACAGACAGATAGAAAAGGTGATAGGTAGAAAGACAGACAGATAGATAAACAGTGTAACTGCTAGTATGGTATCTTACATTCTAATTGCACTAGATCATGGTTGTACAATCATTGGTATTCTGAATGTACTAAAATAATTTAGATTTGTATTCAAGAGTGACAAGGCCGCGTGATAAAAGCTTTCACAGTGCATTTCTATTTTTAATTTGTTTCTCTAAAAGTCGACAGTTAACATCCATGAATGCAAGTGACTATATAATGCTTATTGACTTAATGCTTCTAGTCAATAAGCATTATATGCTAGAAGCATTAAGTCATGCCTGGCTTGAGTAAGAACATTCACAAATGAAGGTAAATTTCCTATGAGGTCATTTTAAAAAGTGGGAATATCTGATTTGGCTTTATTTATTATTTACTGGCTTAGCTGTTTTTTTATTCATGCATTTATTAAATAAACATTTACTGAGTGCCTCCACTCTTCACTAAGTACTGAGAAAACAAAAAGAAGTAAGATATAATGCCTTTGGAAAGTTACTTATAGAATGGTATAGGTATATACATAATTATATGTGATAAGTACAATATTATATATGGTATATACATTATTATATATGGTAAGTACAATAAGAAAGAACCAAATATAAAATTATTTGACTAAGAGATTAATTTGGTTTGTGGAAAACAGAAATACAAAGTTAAAATTATATAGTATTAGCTGTAACATTTTGAATTGACATTTCTTCTTGAAATCTCTGACTCATGGACCTGTTTATTCTGGCTTTATGAAAAAAAAATCACCATATGTTTATCTGTAGTTCAGAATATATACCATTTCCTCTAGAGCACTGCCCTGAAATTGTAAGGTGTTATTTCCCAGCTGGTGTTGCAACTGACTTTTCAGTAGGTCGTATTCTATGAGGCAAGCTGTTTCTGGAAGATGGGGTGCATGCAATTAAATTAAATCCCCATAGGCATCAGTTGTATTTTCTATTTATTTCATTATGTTTTGGATTGGAAGCATCAATGTGCATAATACTGAGTTAGTGTTATAAGACTTTTGAATGATGCTGGCAGAAGCATGTTTAGCAGGTAAAGAAAGCTTGAATCCAATGTAAGTGTTATTTAAGCGTGAGGGCAAATTACTAGCTCTTCTGTGATTGAAGGAATCCAATGTAATCACCTTGCCACCGGGAGACTGGCTGGTCTTCTCAAGGTATGGTACCATGTTTGGAATTCCTAGTGGTCATTGCTGTGAATGAATTAATAGTGAATCTCTCAACCAAAAATCATATCCAGATAAGCACTGGGAAAAGATGACTTTTTTTTTTTCAAAGCTTATGTGTAATCACCTTCTCTGCCACTGTGGCCACAGTTTTAGAACCTCAGTGGGGACTTTGGGCCGATTGACAGACTTGGTCAATTAAAAAACTCATAGTAGGCCTTCTTGTTAATTAAGCGCCTATTCTGCAGTGGGATCTTGAGGCCAGTTTACAAGTGGTACATTAACATATATTTTCCCCAAATCTCCTTACTGGCAGTCTTCTAACCTTTATCCTTCCAAGGAAGGGACCCTGTGTTCACAGAGCCATGTGGACCATTTTACTTCAGCATGTCTCCTCACATTGTCATCCTTATATTTCTGCCTCCTAGGAATATTTCTCTTTCCTAAATTCTTTTCCATCCAGTCCACCTCTGAGTGTGGTTATAATGCCATAGTTATCCACTTTTACCTGGTATTAGCCTATCCTATAGAACTTTCCACAAATTAATCTTTCCCTCTTAAATATTTATGGAAGAGTTTCTCAATTTCAGCATTATCGGTATTTTAGGTTGGATAATTCTTTGTTGTGGGTGAAGTGTTGCTGTACATTGTGGGATGTTTAGCAGCATCCCTGAGTTCTACTCACTAGATGCCCACAGAACACTTTTCCCCAAGTTGTGACAGCCAGAGATGTCACCAGACATGGCCAAATGTTCTTGGAGGACACAATTACCCACAGTTGAAAACCACTGAGGTAAGGCGACAATGTAAAGTTATTTGACTGTAACAGTCCCATTTTAGGTCTGTTGTCCTGGCCTACATTTTAGCTCAAATATGTTCCTGTTTACATGATAAATTATAGTTGCTCTAGTCATAAGAGACTCCCCATGAGATCAAAAGTGTGGGTTGACAGAGGGGTGGCTGTGTGCCAAGAGAAGACAGGCTGCGTGTGTGAGCCATCTGCTCATGCAACTTCCTAGTGCTTCAGGAACTCCTTGAGTCTGGTCCCATATATACCTTTTCTGTCTGATGAAGGTGTGCTGTCAGGCTCATCTGACTTCATGGCTTGGACTTTTTAGATCATATACAGTCCATGATGTCTACCTCCCTTTGAACAGACACCTGGATAAGCATTAACCAGGGTATAACGTGAGGCAAGAGCATTTTCCAAAATAATAATTACTTTGGAAAGAATGTACAGGGGTTTTAATCCATAAAATCCTAAGAAATGTGGCTTTCCCATTAGGGTTGTCACAGACTTCAGACTGCATCCCCTTCTACTACAGATTTCAAGCATCATGGATTCCGCTGAGTTGTGAGCCAGGTTGCTTTGCACTGCAACTTGGACCAGCTGGAAGCTTCTTCCTCTTGAACTCACTCAAAGCTGAAAATGTTTTTAATAACCAGTAAATAGATTAGAAAAGCACAACCCAATATGGTATATATTGCCTGTAAAATCCCCAAAGACTATTTTTCCTCCTTAGTGAAAAACAGGAAATGTAAGATTCAGGGTTCTTTCACCTAAGAAAGCATATGCTGGCATTCTCCAGATCACTGGATCCCCAGAAATTAAAAGTATTCCATGTCTGTAAGGGGTTTATCCTCTCAGCACTATTGTGCAAGTATTTCCAAGGCATTGGCTGTAGTTGCTATTTTTATCTTCCTAGTCTCACTAACAGGATGAACCAGCATGATATATTCTGGAATTGTTATAAAGATCATGGTCCCTGAAAATTAAATTGTAAAACAGATACAGAATATTGAAATAATTTTAAGTCTGAAGGGTAAAGTTGTATAGCTGTCTCTGCTAGATAATAGCAGTGGAGCCTGGTGTCTCTTCTTTTGGGAATAAGAATACATAATTGATTAGATTAATAGCAGCGTACTGTCTGCTGCAGAATATTTCTTCCAGTAAGCAGACTTTATCTAGCAAACCAGCTGTAAAAGGAGTTTTACCTAATTAAACATATGACCATTAGTTGTCACCCTCAAGGACTCATCCATCTTCTGTACTAACCAAATTGGTGAGTCAAATGGCAAGATGAGAAGAATCAACATTCTAAATCTCTCAAATCTTAAATGGTGGTACCTTCTTCTGAGATTTCCCCAGGGAGACCATTATATTTTTGGTTCAGTGTTTTGGTACAGAAATGGAGTTCTAGAACATTTCATTCACCTTCCTACCAAAACAGACCTTACTCCATGGGTCAGATTACAATTGTGATTATGCCAATTGCTTAAGGATATCTAGTCTAAAATGTTCTTCAGAACCAAGGAAATACACATAATATAGTTGAAGAACCAGCTGGGACTACTATAAGGTAGACTCAGGTCACAATCTGTTTCATACTTGACTTCTGTAAAGCTCTCATCATTTCCTGTGAATCATTCTGACGTTCTAGGTCCCTTGGGGTAGGCTTTGATTTAAATTGAACTTCCCAAAACCCCCACATCTGGGTAAAACTCTTTAGTTAATGCTTACTTAGCCTGGCTAATGGCTGTAAGGTCCTTTGGGGAACTCAAAGAGGAAGATCATGATCAGTACTTATTGTGTTACTGCGGAGTCCTCCCTCCCTCAAGGATGCCTCACTTTTTCTTAGTCCAAAGAGGTCAGAATCTGGGGAGTTAACTCAAGTATAAAGGAGTCCTATCGTGATGGCTTAAGTTTTGCTTCTGTTAGACACAGAATTTTGGAGGTTATAAGTCTCAAGCAGAACCTCAGCAGGCTACCAATCCCTTCCTGGCATACAGAACACCATTATCAATGAGCAATAGCCATGCATTCCTGGGGTTCAGACCAGTGTCATCATCACCTTACCCTACTGCTATTTATTATAGCCATGTACAGTTTTTGTCTCAGGCAGTTATGCCTTGCTAAATGGTTAGAGCATCCTCCAGCCCTGTTGAAAGGCTAATTTCAAACTCAGCATCTCTTACCAGTAACTCCAGGAATTATCAGTATCAGTGCTGGTTTCCTCTCTTCCAGTTTCTTGAGTACTTGATGAAGGGAGTTTCTTCTGATCCCTTTTGTAGGATTTTTGTAGGATGTGTTTAGGAATAAGTAGACAGTTTGTATAAAATCCAAACTCCAACATTTCTGTCTCCCAAAGTCTTTTTGATAACTAAATGTCAATTTTAATTAAAGTTGTATGTATAAATTTTTAATATCCAAGTAGTATGAAAATGCTTATGACAAAAACTAGCTGTTCTTTTGTTCTTTGTCTCACCCTCCCTACCCTTTAGTCCTTCTCTTATTA